AAAAAAAAAAAAAAAAAACCTGAAAAGCTCAGAAAGCAAGAACAGTGCTATGACAACAGAATCAAACCAGTGCGTTTTTCTCTTTAGTTGGGTTTGAGATTAGATGTGAGAGAAGTTGTAAGGGTTAAGTGATGAGCTTAGTTATCCTGAGAGAGATCACACTAGAAAATACAAACTTTTAAAAATATGAGTGGTCATGTTCTTGGGGACTGGCTTAAAGGGTTGAGGCTTTAGCTAGAGATGTATATTTGTCTTGCCCCTGCCCCAAACCCTGCAATTTCTGCTTCTTTTCTGGAACCCAAGCACCACACTTGTTCTGAGCGCAGTGCAACAGCTTCTGTTTAGCTTCATGTACCTGGCACATGGGATTGAAAGAGAAGCTGTGAGGCTGCGCTGTTTTGTGCAACTGGAGGATAAGATGGGAGGACCAAAAGGGAGGGGAGAGGCAGGGCTGAGGCCCCCGCTCCAGGACTTCATCAGCATGGCAGAGCTGTATAAAAGACAGGTACACACCTGTACTGGAATTGTATCATTGGAGTGTAGTTGTGTGGAAGCTTGAATACACATAGTCCAGTAGTTTATTGCAACATGGTGCTGATGGTAACATTACAGAGCAATAGTATTCCCCTGAATAATAACAGGAATCAAAGATTTGGCTAGCATCTTCCCCATGGAAGTATTTAAGTTAGAACTTAGGTTAAGTATGAGAAAACCTCATATTGAACACTTCATTGGGACCCTTAGAGGAATGCTGACCATGGTATAGAAATGGTGGTTCATACTGCATGCAGTGGTGTGTTGTGAGAAGGAAGGGCTTTGATGTGATGTTCTTTGCTGTTTTCTCCTACAGAGCTTCGTGTGGGTATTTGACGGTGTTGGCAGCTTATGCCAGTGTCTGTTACTCCCACTAGGCTCTCTTTGCATTCCAAGGATCCTAATCCATTACTGGCACCTCAGAGTAACTCCTGGCCCTATTTAATTGCTTTAGACTCTTTCTGATCGCCTCAAAAAGCTGATAGCCAACTGCAGTAAAGGCAGAACAGTGGATGTTGTGTGTGTGTGTTTTAAAGCAAGGTTTTTGATACTGTCTCCCATAATATCCCCCTAGACAAGCTGATGGAGTATAGGCTAGGTAAGTGCACAGTGAGATTGAAAACTGGCTGAGATGCCAGGCTCAGAGGGCTGTGATCAGGGGCACAAAGTCCAGCTGGAGGCCAGTCACTAGTGGTATACCCCAGGGGTTGATATTCAATACAGTATTAACATCTCCATTAATGACCTGGATGGTGGGACAGAGTGCACCCTTAGCAAGTCTGCAGATAGTACAAAACTAGGAGGAGTGGTTGATGCCTCAGACTTTTGCATTGGCATTCAGAGGGACCTCAACCTGCTGGAGAAATGGGCTGACAGGAACCTCATGATGTTCAACAAAGGGAAAGGCCAAGCCTTGCCCCTGGGAAGGAATAACCTCATGCACTAGCACAAGCTGAAGGCCAACCACCTGGAAAGCAGGTCTTAAGAGAAGGACCTGGGGCTTCTGGTACTCAGCAAATTGAACACGAGTCATCAATGTGCCCTTATGGCAAAGGACGACAGCAGTATCCTAGGCTGCATTAGGAAGAGCATTGCCAGCTGGTCGAGGTGTTGATCCTTCCCTGCGCTGGTGAGACCGCATCTGAAGTGCTGTGTCCAGTTCTGGGCTCCCCAGTGCAAGAAACACATGGATCCACTGGAGTGAGTCCAGTGAAGATCTACAGACTGGAGCATCTGTAGTAGGAGGAAAGGCTGAGAGAGCTGGGATTGTTCAGCCTAGAGAAGAGATGATTTGGGAAGATTTTATCTCTGTGTACAAATACCTGATGAGAGCCAGGAAAGAAGACAGATGCAGACCCTTCTCAGTGGTATGTGGTGAATATAAAAGAGGCAATGGGCACACTGAAAACAGGAAATTCCATCTTAACATAGAAAACCTTTTTTTTCCCC